TCTTTCGCTTCCACGCCGACTCCAACAAGCCTGACTCTGTTTGAAGCCACCGCCCCATCTCGTGTTGTCCCATGCAGAGTGAGTTCAGTTTGGCCTGCGGCGATGTTCAGTTCACCTTTCAGCTCTGCCAATGTTTCACTATGGCCGTTTCGAAGCTCGAAAGTACAAAATCCATGGTCAAGTTCGACAGGGCCTGAGCACCTCAAGCTGAATATGATTGTCACGTCATTACCTAACCGCGAAAGCTTCTTGACTGCCATTCTAGGCCCTCCAATAGCCTTGAGTGGCATATCGAGACTGAGGTTGCACACAGACGAAATGCCAAGCGCTCTGACTGTGCAGTTGCTGTTTTGGAGCTGAAGGTTGGTTTCACCGTCGACTATGATGCTCCGAACAAAGGCACAGTAGTTGGTGTAGTCGATGATCTCGATACGCTGTTCCTGAGCAACAAAGTCTGTGCCCCAGAAACTCGTCTGCGTCTGGGGTAACTTGATCCGTCCAAATACGGCCCCATTGAATGTCAAGGATGCCTCCGTTGATATGACAGTGCTAGAGATTGTTCCTGTCCCAAACATGCGACCCTCGATAACAAGTTTGAAGGAGCTGAAGCATTAGCAAGCCATAGCATAAATGGTGGGCATTACGCTTACTCTTCAGTAGCATTGCTGATCTTGAATCGAGTGACTTGAAGCCTTGCAAGGTCCAGCAGGTGCTGTACAATAGCATCCGCAATGCCTAATGGTGAATAAGGTGCCCTTCTGTTACGGTTTTCGGAATCAAGGGCCGTTCGGGCATACTGTTTGAAGAGAGGAGAGCTGGAGATAATCATGACGGGCGATTTGCCTGATAACTTTCAGATCTAATGCAAAGTTGAGGAACTACAAACGAATACAAAAGGGAATAAATAGCAAAGAACTGATGTGACGGGTCTGAACTTAGTGGTCCATTGCACGTCTATGCGTCAGCTAAAAGCGTATGGCAGGTATAAGCACTGCTCGATGAATATTCGAACACGTACAACTCAAGGCCATCTTATGCGTAATAGAGATAGAATATCAAGATCATCATAGATTCCTTTCAAAGTATGATTACCTGCCTGCAGATATCTGACTGTATGCCCATCCCCATCCCCATCCATAAACTCATGCTAAATGCTGAGGAGCAAGGCGCAGAGATATAAACACCAGTTCATCGCTGACATAAGACCAGTTAAACAGTATTTTTCAGTTCCTATTTACTTCTCGCCCAATTACAAGGCATAGACCATGTTTCCTGTCAGCTTAGAGTGATGATTATGCTGTTGCTGACCACAACACATCTAGGCTAGGGGAGGAAAGAAAACCCAGGACTTCAATCCTAACTGATAAAAAGACCGAGGTAGTCTAGTATAAGTTTAGGATAAGCTTAGTATACCTTTTACTGGGTTTATTTTGATATCTTATATCAGGGTCTGATGTTTTCTTGCTCCCTGAGTTTAGGTTAGAATGCCTACCTAGGTACTCCGTAGGCAGAATCCCTAGGTAGACAAGATACTGGGTATTCTAGGATTCTTATAAATTCTTGCTAAAAAAGAGTACTCGAAAGTTAACAACATGTATACCTAGGTTAAGTGGTGACATGGTGTGTGCGGACTTGAGCTAACAGCCTTGATACTAACTAAATACCTATGTCGGTATTCTATAACTCCTGGGATGCATGTTATGTCTGAAAAGCATCTGAATGACGAGAAACACGATATTTGTTATATTCAAGTATTCAAGTCATAGTGAATCATAACGCAGGTATTCCCTCTATCCGCCGATGTGTCATATATCAGTGCTGTAATAAACATCACCGACGATCAACGCTTCTGGGTGATTCAGAAGCATGTCTTCCAGCAATGAACTTAACACAGAGCGAATCTCGTGTATTGTATCGAGCAGCTTACCCTGACCTTCTTGGCCTTGGCCCAGGCACAGCAGATGGGTTGAGCAACGACAATGACAACTAGAGGCACCAGACAAGAAGAATAATTACCCCGTATCAGATACCTCGCGAATCCAAGGCTTGCCTTGATATGTAGACCTTCCAAGCTACCTAATACCCAGGCAGATAGGTAATTGACAAATCTTCGTGATCAGAGACCCAAATGCCATTACTTTGTCTCATCAAGAATCCTGTCACATGTTAAGAGTGAGATAGTGGCTTGGTTATCAATAATTAATTTAACGTCCATTGATTTATCTCATGTCCAGAGAATCTGTTCAATTTATCCTCCAAGAACAATCCCTGGCCCAAGACATGAAATCCTCAGTCAAGCATTGAGTACGGCACATTCGAGGGAACCCTCCCGAGCCATCAGAAATGAATCAAAGTTTCAAATAGCCACAAGATCACAATCATTATACGTCATAGCAGGAGTTTGGATGAGCGGCACGGATCGTTCATTCAGACGTGCCTCGGTGGGCGTTTGGCATAAACATAGAGGTCTCGTCTCACATCACTGAAAAGATTGACGTCTTCACGAATCTCCCGAGCAATTATCTCGTTTCGACGGCGGCAAACATTGACCCTGATGAAAATGATTCCGAGGTTCTAAAACCCTCAAACTCCCACGGTGTCCCCCACGCAACGCAACCCAGTCACACGAGCGAAACCCATGGTAGAAATTGCCCTCCATTTTTTATGAGTACATGCCGATACCCTTCGAAATGCATCTCATTCGTGACCACCTAAAGGAAATGGGTTCGTTTAAGAAGGGGGGGCAGCGCCACGTCCACGGCCAAATCCACCACGGCTGTATCAATTGTTAGCAATTCGTCCCGTATCCATCAACTTGTCCAAAGGGCCAACTCACAACTGAGGAGCGAACTCGCCGGGAGCACCACCCTCCTTGCCCTCGCCAGCATCCCTTCGTCGGTATCCACCCTCACGGTCACCTCGGTCACCACCACGGCCACGGCCGAAAGGTCGTCGCTCGCGCTCACCCTCGCCGAGCATGCCACGGGGAGGAGCGTGCGATCGTTGTTGCTTAATGTGGGTAGCGGGAACGATCTCAGCGGGGAGGTGAAGCCATTCGCGGAGGTAGTCGAGACCCTCGGGGGTCAGGGTGTAGTAGTAGTATTGCCAAGAGAACTGGGTCTTGACATAGCCGCGAGAGTTGAGCGACTGCAGAGCCTTGATAACGAACAGGTTCTTGGTGTCAATATCAGGGTGCTTGGGAAGGTTGAAGTCCTTCTGGGCGACGAGAACACCCTCGCGGAAGAGGTACTATCGGGAAACTGTTAGTTATGTGCGCTATGATTTTGTGCTCTCTTCCGTAGCTCGCAGTTCTCCGCCGTCGTCGTTGCGCAGAGTTGCTCGGTGAATGTAATGGTTATTACCTCGTGGATCTTCTTGCGGTCGGCCTTGGGAATCAACATCGTGGCGGTATTTGCTGCTCGTCGGAAGGGTCGATGTTGGAAGGTGGCAGTTTAGGAGGGACGAAGACGACTTCTCAAAATGATAACTTTTGTGGGCGGAAACCCTACTAGAATTTGGCTGTAGCGAAGTGGGGTGGAGACGAGGTTGCTCTGCGGCTGATTTCACGTGATGAGGACGACTGAGCTGTGGCTGTGCTTGTAGGTGTGTGGCAGTCGGGTAAGGTACCTTAGTTGATGGGAGGGCCCGCTTATCTGCAAGGTGCAGGCCATTTGCATGACAAACAACCAACCAAAGCGGCGTTGATGGAATCTTTGCGACAGGTCTTCTCAATCATTCATCACAACGGCCTCCACTATCTTTCAAACCGAATATATCCCATAACATACCATGGCTCCCCGAAACGTGAACGTGCTGGTCACTAGCTTCGCTGGTCTAGGACTACCACCGACCCTCGTTCTTCCTCTGGCTTCATCGACAACAGTTACAGAACTGCGCCAACGCATAGATGATCGACTCCCGACGACTCAGTCAAGACTCATCCTCACCACACTTTCCAACAAGCAACTTCCAGCCTCATCAGACTCTCCCATCTCCAGCTATCTCTCCACTGCCGACGATGAATTCCTTTCCTTGCGACTCGCTGTCCCCCTTTGTGGTGGCAAAGGTGGTTTCGGATCTCAACTTCGAGCCGCGGGTGGTCGCATGTCTTCGCGCAAAAAGAAGAGCCAAGAGGACCACGGATCTAGCCGAAACCTGGATGGGCGACGTCTGCGTACTGTTAATGAGGCCAAGGCTTTAGCCGAGTATCTAGCTATCAAGCCCGAGATGGAAAAGAAGGAGAAAGAGAAGCGCCGTGAGCGTTGGGAACAGATCGTTCGAATGTCAGAACAGAAGGAAGCTGAAATCAAGTCGGGCAGCAAGAGTCGTCTTGACGGTCAGTGGGTCGAGGACAAGGAAGAGAGCAGTGAGCGAACTCGAGAGGCTGTTCTGGCTGCCATGAAGGCTGGTAACTACAAAGACAACTTGCTTGGCACATCTCACGATTCAAGCTCTACACAACCAAGCAATGACCAATCCGGTTCAGATGAGGACAAGGGTACATCATCAGACCAGTCAACGCCGCCCTCCGTCGAAGGAGCCAAGGCCGATAAGGGCAAGGGTAAGGCTACGACATTCTTTGGATTCGATGAGGACGATGAATTTATGAGTTCAGACGATGAGGATGAGGAAAAATGATGGGTCTCGTCAAAGTGATCATCAAATTGGGGATTTGTCATTACGACTTACCTATACTGGCCAATCGCAACAGCCATTTTTTGGATTACGGAGTATGGAATCATGGAGTATTATTTGGGAGTTTGAATTGCCAGCGCTTTTGCATGAGCCTCATATAGCTAAAATGATAGCAATAATCTCATTCGACAATCTACCACTCAAGCCTCGAGACGTCATCACAATGCGGAAAGCCAGTGCTCAAAACACAACAGTCAATATTTGGGGTTAGCTTTGAAAGCAATATCACAAATGATACAATTGCAGTGTGTCTGCTCTGACTCTTCTAACAACATCCACTAGTCCATCCAGTCTACGGGGTCGGCTTAGGCGTCGAGCTTGACGGGGAAGTTTCCGGCCTCTGCGCAATACGTTAGTCCTTGTTCGAGATCAATTGGAACCACTGAGGTTCAACATACCGCGCTGCTCGTCCCAGCGCTGATACCAGCCGGAGGGGCAGAGAGATCGGTAAGACAGCCAGAACTAGACGTCAATTAGCATGGACGTCGCCGGTGGAAGTGATTCTCGGCAACTCGTACCTGGCGGCAAGGCGCAAAGTCCTCACCCTTGGCGAGAATGCACTTGTGGTAATCGACGTAGTTTTGCCAGCAGTGCTTGGTCTGGTTCTGGTTGGGGAAACGGGCGTCAGTGCCTATGAAGTGTTAGATCGAATCGTGGTAATTGACGCTAGTGCAATTGAGTATCGTCGCCGGGATCGCGTAATCGCAGTCTGTCTGTCGTCGAGGAGAAATCGGTGGTGATAGTTGTGGTGGTTGTAGAGGGATTCGGGCTTACCAGCTGCGTAGAAGTGTTAGCCTCGGAGCCAAATCAGGTCATTTTTTCGAGCCCGCAACGGCAGTACCAACAGCGGGATTATCAGGGAAGCAAGCATTAAACGTACCAGTGACAAACTTGAAAGGCTTGGTGACAAGCTCCTGACCGTCGTCCGACATCGTGAATAGCTTTTAAGGGGAATTGAGTTGGAGGAGGGGAGATTCTTCTGGGGTCAATGACGGCGAGTATGGAGCTCGGTGCGTTTAGGATGGAGAGGTTGAGTAAGTATCCAATGCGTCGACATTAGTAGAATGGATTGGATGGGTGTGTCGGCTCGAATCAAATCAGGTGGTTCGATTTCCTTCCGGGAGAGCTCAATGTGTGCCTCAGGCTACCCTCGGGCCAATGGCGTATGGCGTAAGGCACCCATCTCGACTGGTGGGCCTGCTAGGCTCTAACAATTGCACATCAGCAGATGTTCGTTCGGTCGGCCAACTCCAAACACTCCTTCCAAGGCCGATAATTTCCAATTGAACCATCACCTCTGGACTTTGATTCCTTAGACCCTCCCCACTCACTCCAAGATGCGTTCTACCACTGCTCTTCGAATGTTCAGGCAGACGCCTCGCATGTTGCGACCCGTCCCCGTGAGTATCTCCAATTCTATGCAAATGACCTGAGGGAACGAGCTCTTTAGCCCTCGGCTCAGTATGACATCAATTGCTGACCCAGCTTCATTTTATAGAAAGAGGACCAGGCTGGTATGTAACGCTACAAGTTCCCGACGGTGCCTAATCGAGCGACCCGATCCTACAAATGCGGATGCGAAAACTATCTCAATTGGTCTGCATACTGACAGAATCCAAGGCCACACCATCTCTCAGCGTCTCCGAAAGCTCAAGCAGATCCCTCCTGAGCTGTACCCTCTCGGTAAACCACCACGACTCAACTGAACCATGTCTTGTCTAATATCTATATCTAGCTGTCGTTGTTGGCTTCGCTCTCGGCGCTGCCGGCTACTCCATCTCTCGCAAGTTCCTTGTTGATAAGGACCTCCGTCTGGCCCGACAGGGTGCCGCTGGCCGCCATGATGCTGGCCATGCTGAGAGCCACGCCGAGGGCGAGAGTGAGGGTCACTAAGTTTGTCATAAAGATAGGGATGCTATTGGGGAAATGAAATTGTTTGCATGTCCACATGTCCTTGGAAGGACAGTACTGTACATTTCAGATGAGTGCGGTAGTAGGAAAACACATCAGGTCTAAAATCTGAATATTCTCAGTGATGATATGTCACCTTTACTCGACAGCAACCGTGAATCCAATCCAATGCCTTGAACGCCTTCGCTATGCCGGCAATAAGCTCAATAACAAACCTCCAACTTGTATTCTCATTCAGGTTTTGGTCCTGCAACGTCGAGTTGTTCCAATCCTTGCATGGGGTCAGGGCCAGCACCTGACACTGCTTCTTCGTCATCTGCCGCATGCTCGGCCAACCATCCTTCCTACGAACCATGTTAGTTTGCTTTTCAATCGTTTCGGCCGTAACATACCTTCTCCCAAATAGCTGTTTTGCTACCAAGCCCATCCTCTGCGCTTTTAGGTGTCTTGGCCTGTGATACCTTGAGGACCTTTCCGAAAAACTCCGATTGATCCATGTTATCAATAGCCTCCTTCGCATCAGCTGCGTCTTCGAACTCGACATAGGCGAATCCTCTGTGTGCCTCTGTAGAGTTTGGCGCATCGGGTTTTGGTACCTTGACCTCGACTATCTCACCGAATGGGATGAAAGCGTCGAGGACATGACTCTGAGTTGCCATTTGAGATAGTCCGCCTACATAGACAGTGGCTTTCCATCGAGCTGCCTCTGACATTTTGGAATGATATATGCGCCGTTCAGTGATCGGAAGAAGAATGGATGGTGTCAACGTAAGCTTGAAAGTCCTTGAAGTTGAGCTCATAGCATTCATTCAAGGTGCGGTTGAGTAGCTCAGAGGTTCTGCGCCTATCACGTGATCATTAGAGCTTTCTGATCTTGACTTACAACAGTTGTCTTCTGGCTGTTTCATGACTGTAATGGCTATACCCACGCAGGATACCAACATAAATAGTTGATAATAACTTTCAAGATGTCATTCAAGGCTTGATTGATGATTTTCTGACACGCAGCTTCTAAAATTAAGGCATATGCTGTCCTTTTCGTCTCCTGTAAGTCAGTCTGATCACAATACCGATTGGCCTTTAAACTTCCGCATTTTCCCATGTAATTCCTTGCTCATTACAACTCCTAGTATTTAGGATATTCCAGGCTTCTCTCGACTCGTTCCCCTTTTCACTGGCACTCACCTACCTATAAACATCATACCTCAGATACCAGAAGCTGATCAAGCTCTCTTTTCACGTGACAAGGAGCCCCACCTTCTGAACAGCTCAGCTCAGGAGGCACGGACGTGGCCACAGGGAGCTCAGGACTCAGGAGGAGCCGGGCAACTAACGGGGGGAGAGCCAGCCTGCCTGCAATCTGGCATCATACCTCCCACTACCTACAGGACACACCTCCACCGACCTCGCCCTGCTTCGTTCGAACTCCTTTTGAAGCAATACTGCGGGCAGAGGCGACGATTCGTTGAGAACTGTATGGAGTTTTCTCAGCCGCAATTGTCCATTTTCTTGTCTTTTTAACTCGTCTTATTATATCGAAACACCATCCTGAGCTGGTACACTTGTCGCGTTAGTCCCTAAACTCCCCACCATCACCATCATGGTGCGCCTTCGAGACATTCCACGAACGGCCGCCTTCGCCTGGTCACCAGGTGCTGGCAAGCCAATTCTAGCCACCGGTACTCATGTCGATTCCCCCGACGAGAGCAACAAGCTCGAACTCTGGGATCTTGCTCTGGACGATCAACAACAAGGCCTCGAACTACAACCTGTCGCCAGCATCGACACCGACGCTAGGTAGATACTCAAGAATGCGCTTTTGAAACCCCATGTTCTGATCAACACTTCAGGTTTTACGATGTTGCATGGGGTCCTCCCAGCGAGGATCACCCCAGGGGTATCATTGCTGGTGCCCTCGAGAACGGCTCCCTAGACCTTTGGGATGCCGAGAAACTTATTGCTGGAGAGTCTGATGCCTTAATTTCTCAAACATCAAAACATAGTGGCCCGATCAAGGCACTCGAATTCAACCCCTTGAAGCCTCAAATCCTCGCCACAGCTGGCGCCAAAGGAGAGCTCTTCATCTACGATGTCAACGATATTACCAACCCCTTCCGACTAGGCAATTCTACTGCCCGATCAGACGACATCGAATGCCTCGCATGGAACCAAAAGGTCTCACACATTCTCGCCACCGGTGGAAATGGTGGATTTGTCACTGTTTGGGACCTGAAGACTAAAAAGGCTTCTCTAACACTCAACAACAATCGAAAGGCTGTCAGTTCCATTGCTTGGGACCCCAACAACTCAACAAAGCTCCTGACAGCTACTCCTGATCACAACTCCCCTGTCATCCTTCTATGGAACCTGCGAAACTCCAATGCTCCCGAGAGAACGCTTCAGGGTCACGAGTCTGGTATTCTGTCCCTGTCTTGGTGTCAGCAAGATGCCGACCTATTGTTGTCCTCAGGTAAGGATTACCGTACCATCGTGTGGAATCCCAACACTGGGGAGCGGTATGGTGAACTTCCAGAGGCGACAAACTCCGCTTTCCTCACTCGGTTCAACCCTCACAACCCCAATCTTTCGGCAACTGCCAGCGCCGACGGCAAGATCACTGTCCAGACTCTCCAAAACACCAACCCTGATACTACGAAGGCCGCGGCTGAGAAGAACCTTGATGATGAGGACTTCTTTCTCCACGCTGCCCAGGACAAGCCTCAAGATTCCTCTTGGTCATTGGCCAAGGCTCCCAACTGGTTCGAGAGGCCCGTCGGTGCTTCATTCGGTTTTGGTGGAAAGATTGTTGTGTTCAAGCCCAATGCTACCCAGCCCGGGCAGAAGCGTTCATCGAAGATCTTGATCACCAATTTCACTGTTGACTCTGACATTTCTACTGCTAGCCAAAAGTTTCAAGAGGACATCGCATCCGGCAAGATCTCTGAAATCTGTGCCGATCGGGTTGAGCAAGCCAAGACTGATGAGGAAAAGGCTGATTGGAAAGTGATGGAGACTCTTGTTGGCGAGAATCCCCGTAGCAAAATCGTCGAATATCTTGGCTTCAACAAGGACACCCTCACGAATGGCAGTGCTGAGGAGACATCCGAAGTCCAAGAAGATGAGGAAACCAAGCCATCAGATGAGGACGCCGAAGAGAAGAAGGAGAAGCGAGTCTCGAGCTTCTTTGATGGTGCTGAGGGCGATAGTGACGACTTCTTGTCCAATCTCGCCGCTACAAAGGGCGCCAAGACTGATAACCCTTTCCATCTTTTCAGTGACTCTGATACCACAGTTGAAAAGAACATCACCTCTGCTCTAATGTTGGGTAACTTTTCCAAGGCAACTGAACTTTGCCTGAAGGAGGACCGTTTCGCCGACGCATTCTTGATCGCCAACTGTGGTGGTCAAGAACTTGTTGACAAGGTTCAAGCTGCGTATCTGTCCCGCAAGAGCGGTATGCCAAGTTACATGCGTCTGCTCGGTTCTGTTATAGCTAAGAACCTCTGGGATGTGGTCTACAACGCCGATCTGGAGAATTGGAAGGAGACCATGGCTATTCTTTGTACATTTTCCGACCCTGACGAGTTCTCTGACCTCTGCGAAGCGCTCGGCGACCGAATCAACGAAGATGGCGATCGAAAGGACGCCTTCTTCTGCTACCTAGTTGGATCAAAGCTCGAGAAGGTTGTGTCTATCTGGGTTGACGAGTTTGACGAGGCTGAGCAGGCTGGATTGAAAGAGGAGACTGAAGACTCCACGTTCTCGGTTCATGCTAAGACCCTGCAGAATTTTATCGAGAAGGTCACCGTCTTCCGTCACACCACCAAATTCCAGGATAACGAGACAAACTTGACCTCGGATTGGAAGCTTTCCGTTCTGTACGACAAGTACACCGAGTACGCAGATATCCTGGCTGGTTACGGTCAGCTAGAGACCGCCCAGAAGTACCTCGATCTCCTCCCTTCCAGCTACCCCGCGGCGGAATTGGCGAGGAACCGTGTGCGTCTTGCTACCAAGAAGCCTTCTGCTCAGCCCGCTTCACGAGTGCCAGCCTCATCGAGCCGGACATCGTCCAGGCTTCAACCTGCTGTTGGCTACCAACCCCCTCAACCCGCACCTGTGGTTGGCACTGTGCCTGGCTCTGTCCCAGCTAATCCCTACAGCCATATTGCCCCAAGTCCTGTCGCTCCTCGACCAACTGGGTCGTCAGCACAGCAATATCAGCCCCCCTCGAACCCTTATCAACCACAGAACAGTTATGCTCCTCCTGCGCAAACAGGATATGGCGCGCCAGTTGGTTATCAGCCTCCTGCTCCAACGGGATACGGTGCTCCCGCCCCCTTGGCGCCCCCACCGATGAGCGGTCCTCCTCGAAACACAACACCATCATCAGTGACACCTGCGGCCAAGATGAAGAACATGGACAACTGGAATGATGTCCCTCTTGTCACCAAAGCACCCCCAGCACGCAGGACCACGCCCAGTGTACAGCCCATCACATCTCCTTTCCCTGGCCAACAAGGCACAGGTGTACCTCCTCCACCTCCTGGTGCGTCTCCTTTTGGACAGCGAACTGGCTCGACTCCCCCTCCGCCACCTCCCAAGGGATCAGCGCCGCCTCGCGTTCAGTCACCTCTTGCAGCTCCTCCACAAAACTTCCAGGCTCCTCCACCTCCTGCTGCCAGTAGCCATAACCCATACGCGCCCCCTCCCCCTGCTGCCGGTGCGATCCCCCAACCAATGCCCAATGTCGTTCCTCGAACAGCATGACCGTACAATGCTCCTCCAGCAGGAGGTCCCCCCACTAACCGATATGCTCCCACTCCTGTAGCGCAGCAGCAGCAGTACAG